TAAAAGAATGATTATGTTTAACTTTAAACTATGCCATTTCAAGAGGGAACTGATGGTCATACCATTTTTGAAGCCTTAACATTAATTTACAAAATGAGGCATAGCTAATGTCAAATCACATTTTTACCAGAAAGGTAAATATATTAGCTTCATTTCCTGAATCCGTAGTGCAAGAAGATAATTGCAGTTAATTAACAACTGAATCTGAGAGAACCAAGACAGACATTGTATCATATTAGTGCACATGGAGCATTGTTTACTTTGATGTTCTAGCAATCTAGCTCATCAACCCCAAAAATACACTAGAGATCAGTCCAAACAGGTAGTGGTATATTATGTTGTCAAGCAACATGTATATCACTCTTCATTGGCTTCCTTTCACAAGGTATATGTTACCTAGTATGCAGCAGCATTTCATACTTCTAGTAAATTGTACAGAGTTGCCAGTCAGAATGAAATGATTCTATCTAGATAATGTTGTCTTTTCTACTCCCTGGAGTGCTTTCTTCATAGCCATTCAAGTTCACCTCCTTGCTTATAAGAAAAACTACACTACTCAGCCTCCATGGTATTGAGTTCTCAGCATCAAAGGGCATATACAGATGTGCTCCAGGAGGCAGGGGTGCACTTCAATTACAGAGGCTCCAAGAGCCACTCTAATTAAAGTGCCCAGAGCATCACATGTATCAGCGCCCCCAGACTGAAAAATGGCAGCTGGGGTGCTTTAACTAACGCTCGTTTGATGAGCTTTAGTTAAAACACCCCCGCTGCCATTTATCAGCACAGGGACACTGATATATGTGACGCTGGGGACATCACCACGCTCCAGCAAACTTGATTAATCAAGTCCACTCCAATGCGCTGCAATTACAGCACGGAGGAGCAGCCTCTGCACACAGGCGCCCAAAATGCATTGCGTCCATACCTGCCTCACTCCCAATATGTTTCTTTTGATGCCTCTGGACTCTAATCATAATCCCAAGGAGAGAGAATTAATTTGTGTCAAGTATTATTAAAAGAGAAAGAAATTTTCAAACAGCTTTTATTATTCTTTTAAGCTGATCATTCCTATTGAATTCAAAACTCTGAATATTTACTCCAGACTATAACAACCAACTTCTAAAAAAATTGCTTTATTTAATGCTAATATGCTAGTCTAGCTAACAGGTCTCTGCTTTTGCTCATTACCTTGTCTTGTCTGTCCAAAGAGCTCCCCTCTTGAATGAGAGTTGCTATTACATCTGTGTTCCCTACAACAGCAGCCCGATGCAATGCCGTCTGGTCACCCTGCAAAAAGCAGCAATACTTCATTAGTGATGGATCTCTCACATCTAGATTTCACATGCAACTATGTTTCATACCTTGGATATAAACATAGCACATCTGTACACATACAACACATTTTACATCACACATTCCACTGAAATACAGGCTAGTTTTGAAAGTGATATGAACAAACCATTATTCTTATGATTTTCAAGAGGAATGGAATCATTATACAGATTAGATAGATTGAGCTAACAGTTTACAAACTTTTTTCCTGAAAAAAGCCATAATGAATTTTTATTCATCCATACAGAGTAATATATTTTTATTCATCCATACAAAGTAATGTTTTTTTATTTATCCATATAGAGTAGTGCAACTACCCCACACCTAAGCATTTTTAAAAATTATTTCAGCACAAGAAGGCTTTAAATCTAACAATAATGTTATCATATTACCAAGCACCAAAGATATCTGTAAGACACTAAAGGAGAGGGAATGAAGGTCTTTTATTTAATTACATTTCATTTCCTCCAAAATTTTTACTAACTAGACCAGTCTCTGCTATTCTGATTTGACTTGCTTAGGTTAGTGGTATGAAGGGAGAAATGGCAGGGACAATTCTGTGATGTGAACACCACTGACAATACTGATTTATTTCACTCAAGCAACTGAACAGTCCTAAAGATGCTAACGCATTTCACATGCCACTGAAGAGGTAAAATACGTGTTTACTCCTTGCCACAAAGGGCAAAACATAAGCAATGGGTTTAAATTACAACAAAGCAGATTTAAATAATAATAATAATTTTAAAACTTCCTAACCATAAGAATAGCAAAACAAAGGAACAAGTTGCATAGGGAAGTTGTGGAACCTCCTTCCTTCATTGGAGGTTTCCAGGAAGAGGCTTGATATGCATTTGGCTAGGACAGTTGGGAAATAACACACCCAGGGCTGGATTAACCCTGTAGTGGCCCCTAGGCAAACAAACTTGTCAGCCCCTATTTAATATTGTATATTTATATTACTTTTTTCACTTAATAATTATAATATGTAAAATAAGCACAACTGGGCCCCTTCTTCACTTAGGGCCCTAGGTATGTGCTTCATTTGGCTATGCCTTAATTCAGCCCTGAACACACCCTGATCTCTGCACTGGGATGGACCAGATGACTCTACTCCTATAAATGTGTGGCCTGCCTTGCATTGGAAAAATGGCTTTGAAAGGCTAGCTACTCATGTAAATTTAGTTCTTTTATCTGCTGCCGTTAGTCTGACACTCGTACATGTCATCATCTAAGTCACTGAGAAAGAAAAAGACTCCAGTTTAAGAAGTTCTAAAGACTAGATATTGACTATGAAACATGCTCTTTCACTTCCCACATTGGGAATCCAATCCAATCCAATCCTGCTTATCAAGATGATGCTCATCAAGGCATGGATGGAACAAATCTGAGGTGCATGCTGGGCAGAAAAACCTACAGAAAGTTGTAGTAATATAATCACAAAAATGACTTGTCAGATACAATCTATTTTCAGATAACAACAGGCTATACCACATTAAAAACTGAAGATTTTCAATATTTTTGTCATACCATGTGTAGGTACCTAGACTCAGGTAACTGAATATAATTGAAAAATTTGTTCTCAGTTAAGGGCAACTAGTGGATGACATTAATTACTCATAAGGGAGTGTTTTCTAATAGTACTGAAAAGGTAATTTATTTTTAAGGGCAAAATCCGTACCGACAATGCAAACATTCAACAATCCTGAGTCAGGCCTCAATATACTGAAGCGGGCTTAAAATCTGGAAATTAATTTTAAAATAATATATTTTAAATTCTTTTTATTTGCCTTTGATGTTTTGGTTCCTTAGAGGCTAGGCTTTCAATCTTTTCTTCACAATTCTGAGAGTAAAAAAAATAGTTTTCTAATGAAAGCCGAGGTTTCTGCATATTCCCATGGCTCTGGAACCTGAGAATTTCATAAAATTCACCAGGGATCATAAGAACTGTTAACACTGTGTAAAATACTTGTTTTGAGAACAGTCTAATCGAGTGTTTCCCAACCTTCTCCCATTTGGGGTCGCAACGCTAAAAACTGCGGTTGCAAAGACACAACATTGTTGACCGATTATGATGAAAATCACAGAAAAAAGTGGGAAACAGCAGATGCCCCTTTCAGGCTGGCAGAGTTCTAGCCTGAAAGGGGTGGCTTGGGGCTGGAGGGAGTGGGAGAAGGGTGATCAGGCAGGGGACGCCATGTGCATGTGCATGCACACACATGCATGTGGCAGCAAGGCAGCATGGAGAGCATCTCCCTCTAGGTAAGTCTATGTGGTGGGGTGGGAGAATTGAGGTCCCCACGGTGAGGGAGCAAGGAGGGAGGGAGTGGGGGAGGGCTGGGGGGCATTGCCAGCTGGGCTGGCGCATGGGGCCTCGGGCCAGAGCAGGAATGTAGGGCCCGGCTGGAAGAGCAGGATGGAGCCACGAGCAGCTCATCCAGGGACCAGGGAGGGTGGGGGGGCTGGCTCCCTGCCGCTGTGCACTCTGTGCACTCCTAGGGAGGGAGGCATGGCGGGGGGGAGAAACACATGCCGCCCAGACTGGCACGCAGTGCAGGGGCAGATGCAGGTTGCCTTCTGCAGGCTCAGGCCTCCCCACCCCACTGCCCTCCTGCCTGCTGGGCCATGGAGGCCCCCAGAGGGAGGGTAGCAGGGTGAGGAGCTCCAAGCCCATTGTGGGCAGTTTGCATCCCCCCACCTAGGCTCTGCTGCCTGTGGGGGGAGGAGGCATTGTTCTTATCTGCATCATTTTGGGGCTGCAGAAAAATTTCCAATGTTTATATAGTGTTATGCTGAGGAAAAGGTTGGACTGGGAAGCACTGGTCTAATGTCTCTTTTTTTTTTCCTTTAAAGCTTAACATTTAAAAAAAAATCAACCACCCAAATTGAAATTATTGCAAGGGAAATTATTTCATTGCAACTGCATGGATCATGCACTTTTTGACAGCTATCATTATGTACTAACCAAGGACAGCAAGATAGAAATTTTCAACCTTTTCGAAATGCCATAGCATTCTAGGCTGTCCAAGACACTACTAATGCAGCATGAAAGTAATTGGGTAGTATGTACTATGTACAGACTAGTTTATCCTGTCACTAACACGGAAAGCAATCACCAGTTTAAGTTGACACTTTTGCTGGGACAAAACTCTGAAGGACTCTGTATAGGTAAGAAAACATTTGCAACTGTGATATATAGAGCTTTAAGAACTATGGTGGCTATTCACGATTCCTGCATTTTTAAAGCCTAGAGCACGCTGTAGTGCAGAGTTCAAAAGGTGAACTTACGTTAGAAACAGGAAGGGACAGGCTGATTGTAGCTTACAAATAAAGAACCATTTATTAGGTTAACGCGATTTGTTTCTGTTGTTACATTATTTTTCTTGTTGTTATTGTCTTATGTCACTTAAAGTAATAGCTGTTAATTAAGAAGGCATTTAACTTTTTGGACCTCAGAAGATGCAACAGCTACTTCCATGGATGTTTCCCTTTCATTGAAGAGAAGCAAGAAGGTGAAAACAGACTGCCTCACTTTTCACTCCTGCAACAGCAGTCCCTGCTCAGAACCCAGCCTAATGTCAAAGCACCTCACTCTGTCTACAGGCAACACGGAACGGCTTGTTTTGCTGTCAGGGGACTCATCTACACAAGACATTTACTGCAGAGCTGCCTAATTAGCTCCACAGTAAGTCTCAAAGTCTTCACATGCGACCCTGTTAGGCCACAGGAAACTAATCAACTCTGCCGCAGGTAAGTATGTGTAAGTATGAATACTATCCTACAGTGGAGTTCTTTAGTGCATAACAACGTATGGAGAGATGGTGATGGGGCTGGCTGGAGCACAAGGGCGCTTCAGTGTGAAGGCTGCCTGCTGGCAAGGGGCCTCCCCATGGGCTCCTGCTATTTGGGGCAGCCTGACTCAATGTCCTGTGGTCTTGGGTGCACATTCAAATGCAGCACCCAGGAGCTATTGTTCTAGAGTTTTTTGCTCCACACTAATAGCACATGTAGATGCACCCAGGGAGAGCATTCTCCATCATAGAGACCTTACTGAGTGAGGCCTTGAAAACCAGATCACAGAGACCTAACTGCTCTAGCTGCTCAGGTTTGTATTCCACAACGTTACTGCTTTATCTCTATTCATACTCTGAGGAACAAAACTAGAATTTTACTTTGAGGTTCTCCATTTCAATAGACCCTCTTGATTTCACCTGAGACTATTTCTTCTTGAGTTACTGAGCAATGCAAAGGTATGTATCATATTGAATACATTTTTTAAAATTAATCCCCTCCACCCACATCAGCAGAGTTCTGATAAAGATATCTTGTCTTCTAGGAGAGAGTTGTCATCAGTTATGAAGTTGACTACGGATTTTTGTTTGGTTTAATCTGGGTACCGGCCTCTCTCTCCAGATGCAGAGACAGTCATCTAGATAATGTAATCACTTGCTTCTATTTCTCTTTCACATTAGATTTCTCAAATGGTCTGTTACTTCCTTTTATTTAAAAAAAACAAAACAAAACAGCCATCCCCAAATAGTCAAGTCTTTAACAGCATGCATTTTAAAAGGCATGATAGGATCCTATCCTGGAGACTGAAAGATAAACAATAACTATGATGCACATTCATTGCCCAGACAATCAATTATGTGTATAACCTGCTGCACACACTTTATGACCCAGTTCATAAGTAATTTACAGACATGGAACAATTTTTAGACTTGCAAGATCAGTAAAAATGAAGAATGATAACTACAAGACTGCATCACACTAATAAGACCTTTATAAAGAGATGGGATGGTGTTTGTCTAGACTGGTACAGTTGGGATCAGATCCAAAAAGTCATTAGGGGCCTCTATACATGTGCTCTGGGGTGCGGGTGTGGAGGGGGCATTTTAATTAGAGTGGCTCTCAGGAGCTGCTCTAATTAAAATGCCTGCAGCATCTCATGTATT